AGTGTTGGTATGACATGTTATTGAAATGCCCATGGTATACTTGCTTTGAAGTTGCCTGGGGAACCTACAGTGAACAGAAATTCTTTAAAACGTATGAACACATATACGAAGTATTCATATTACTACAGTACAAGCACTTCTATTGTGGAACATAAGTGGAGAACTCCCAAGGGTCTGCCTCTAGAACTGGCAGAATAGAGTTAGTTACAAGTCCTGAGTTTCGGATTCTGCCTCTCCAACTAGCAGATCTATCTGCATATATATTTCCCTGTGCCGCACAGTTTGATCTCAGCTGCAGGCTGGAGAACTGCAGGCTGCTGACACAGATACAAATAATTCCAGTAGTATCAAATGTTATTATTCTAACCTTTTAAACTCTTGGGATTTTGGTATATCAAGCCATAAAAGTATTTCTTCAAGCTACTTGCCTCTGAATAAGATTTTGCACTCTGAATAATAACAGGGAGCAATTATATTAGACTAGGGTGCCATTCTGTTCATTTTCTGAACTTGACTAGTTCATTCTGAAGCTTGATCTACTGTTTTATCCTACTATTTTGCAGTAGAAACTCATACAAAAGATGTACCATCAGAGCCTTGAGAAAAATCCTAAGCATTAAGAACATTTTAAAACTATACTTTAATTCAGATTTCCTGTAAGAAGCCTTTGAACAATACTTGATACATTGAATCCTGCTATTGCATGAGGTCTCCTATATCCATCCAAGATGCTTAGAAATAATTCTGTGACACAAAAATGGAACCTGAAATTCTCCCTGTGTATTGCATTCATATACATCTCTCTCTCTTGCACATGCCATGTGTATACATGCACATATACAGGCATAAATATTTGTAACATTTTTAACAGCAGTGTTTCAAGGAACCAAGAACTATGCAAATCCTGGTGACTGATCTTTGCAATATTATTTTCGCTGGAAAATTCTGTTCTATTGACATAAATACCCAGAGGCTAGTAAGTCTCATAGGGGTGCTCCTGGATTTAAAAATGTGGCAGTATTTGACAACTACTTCAGACTGAAGTCACCAGAAATCTATCCGTTCCTGTCATCTGTTGAATGTTAAAAAACAAATAGGCTTTTAAATAAAAGAGATTTTCTCCATATCTACCAAATAGAAGGGACTCTTAGGAGTGAATTTCCTTTTGTCCCTAGGAAAGAACAGTTGCTGGACTGGATGGGGGCTATTCTCAAAGCCCCATGTCATACAAATCTGTCATTCAGTTGGATGTTCATTATGGCAGTTCCTGACACCTTCTTAAGTGCATCTCTGTAAAATAAAATGTGCCCTAGGCCAAAGTTTTTATTACAGATCAAATTCATCTTCCAACATTACTTTTTATAATTCTCTATTTTTAATACACCCTAGGTTACTTTACCAGCTAGAATTGCTGTAGAATTCCTTTTTATTTCACTTTTTTCCTGAAAATTTCAAAACATTCCCACGTCTCCTTCAGCCTTAGTTCTGAGAATAATCCTGATAAAGTGCTTAAGTGTACACATAAAGCAATATGCTTGAATCTCAGTGAAGTAAATAAGATTTAAGCACGTATTTGAGACAATGATTCAAGAAAGTGCTTTAAAATGTACTTGCATTCAGACCTGTTCTGCAAAAAAATCCACAAGTCTGTGTTTAGCTTTAAGTATAATTTAAGAATTTAAGTCTCATTGAAGCTGTTCCTCAGTTTAAGATTTTTGCTGAATGAAATAGGTATTTAATAAGGGACAATTATTTTTAGGTAATCCTTTCACTTAAATAGTGCTTTCACTTTTTAACTAATCTTCACTTAAATTAAAGCCAATGGCAAAAATGGAATCAGAAAGCTGATAAGCAAGTTGAGATAAACAAAAGGAAAGGAATTTAACTGATATAACACTGGGAAATTTTGCAAGGAAATAAAACAGGGGTTTTTAAGCTGATGTCTTGTATAGTGTGTATCTTCTATGGTATTGTGAAAGTCTCAGTACTATTTACATAAATATAAAAATACCTTAGTATTATGTCCAGAAATGGTTTTGTTATTATGCGAATTTTTATTTTATTAGTTCATAAAGAGTCTGTGGGGCTGATTCCTGTTCACATATACACTATGTGATGGAAGATAAATTTTTATCACGCTGAAATTTCTTTAGCAAAGAGGTGTAAATGTCCCTTGAAATAAATAAAAAGTGGGTCCTTTGAATCTTAACAGTAAGACAGATAAAGTAAAAGCTATAGCAAAAGAATTCAACTAATTTTATTTCATTCAGGCAAGACCTGATAAGATTTCAGGGAGATGATGGAAAAAAATTGCTGGTGTCAGAGGAAGTGCAATTAGCATAGAGATGATGTTTTCTTGCTGAACTACTGTGTAAAAACAAAGCAAACCAACTCACAGAAACTGACAAAACAGTGAAGTGCACAGATAATCGAGCCCCAGTATACCTCTACTTTTTCCTGTGAAATCCTACAAAGGAAGAATACAGAACTCCCCCAAAGCCAGTTTATTTCTTCCATCATTTTCTTTTGCATTCTGTGCAGAAACAGCTGCAGCAGATAGTACAGGAGGCAAAATCAGTCTTTCCAGTTGAAAGCCATCAGAATTAAGAGGAATTTTTCCTGAATCTTGGCAAAGGGACCCTTTTTCAAACCCCACCCATCCTATAACCTAGCAGGCCACTCTAGCTGCTACCGTTATTTATGCACACTCATTGTTCTGCAAAAGCAGTGGAAGGGGAGTTTTTGTTTCCTGCACAGCAATAATTTTTGTGGCTATTTGCCATATAGCATACGAGTGACTGTGTTGCTTTCAAAGCCCCATGCTTGAGTTTATCAGAAGTCAGCTTGGCAGGAACCAAATTTAACTTTGAGGCTGTTTCTGAAAGGAAAGCTAGGATTTTCTTTTCTACATCTAAAGTCTGCAAGATGTGTGCCACAACAGTCTTCAGAGACCACTAAAACCATCTCTGATGGTATAGCTGCTCACAACTCCATAGGAAGGAAATAATCAGATACAAGCTGCTTTTTATTATTATTTTTTTTTAAATTTCCCAAGCAATTTGCATGAGTTCACTAGCAGTTCTTTCAGCAGAGCAAAGGGAGAGAGTAAAAACTCACTGTCATGTTACTCAGCATTGCTTTGACACAGGAGCACAAATAAAATACAGAAGACAATCAATGGTTTTGGAACGTCTGCTACATCCAGATGCAACAGTTTAAAGATACGTACTCTCCTGAGCACAAATAGTAGGATCTGAATGTTAAATATGCAGTTAGGCTGGAACATGAAGCTGGAAAGCCAGTCAAAGAAATAATAAACTGTGAAAGACTCTAAACCAAAGTAAACAACCTTATAAAGTTGTGTGTCTCATCTGCTTCAGCAGATTTTTGATGCTGACAGTAAAGTCAAGCTGAGCCAGTGGTTTCCTAATATAAATGGAAATGGGCATACTGCTTTGCAGCCCCATTATAAGGCCCCCTCTAAAGACCTGTGCAGAAATTGTTTCCCATCTTCTGAGCAGTACAAAGTTACTAATTCTTGTGTCACCACACCAACAAAAGTCATGTTTATATGAGTATCCTGCACACACAGCATGTAATAGGAAATAACCTAGAGGAATACATGCAGTATCATTCCAAGGATGTGAAAAGGGGCAGATTAAGTCATAGGTATACTTGCACTCCTCTGATTTTTTTCAGCCCATACAAAACCTTCTGAAGAATTATCAGGGACAGTAACATTCACAGGAACTTTGGAGTACAAGCCTATGAAAATCAGCAGGTCTTTCTACTGGTTGGTTGCAGAAGGTGTTAGGGAAGATCTGAACATATGATTAGTTTGCTCTGCATTGCTAAGATTACATTTCTCTTACAGGAAGATGCAAGAGAGCCCAGAGAGTTTCTCAGATCTACACAGTTTATTGTAGTACACAACAGCATTGACATATTGAGTGCTGTTTCAGACACAGCTTGTCGATACTATTACTGGAAAATGAATGTAATGGTATAGTGAAATGGTAATGGTATAGTGTACAGTGGTACAGTAGAAATAATGAATCTTGCTGAAGTGATCTTAAAAAAAAGGCATATTTCTGCACATGATGTTATTAGGACAATCCCAAATGCCAATTCTCAGACCATTATGAGTTGAAACAGATAACTAGAAAATACCCATAATTCAGTTAGATGTCAGTAAAACAACTCTGTCTTCAGTAAATGAAATCCAGCAATACCATATAAGGCAACATTTCTATTCAGGATTATTGTAACAATATAAAGTGTAAGAGCAAAGTCCAAAGTAAAAAATGCAACTTATTAAAATTCTTTGTTTTATAATGTTTGTGTATTAACACAAACCATACTGAACGTAGATTTTCTTGGTCAGTTAGTGGTTTTCCCAAAGTTACCATCTCAGCAACTGCCCTTCTTTTTGCTTTGATGGATCTCAACAAGAATTTCCAGATGAAGTCAGCATCTCAAATCAAGAAAAAACATATATACCACCACTTGAAAACTACAGCAGTTGTTTTTCTCCTCTAATCACTGGCTGCAACTCTTTCGCTTTCTGATGGCAGTACAGGAAATTCCTCCTGAGAAACATGTTCAGGGGAACACAAAGTGGACAAGCTGTAGGATTTCAGTTACAGAAAACACTTTCTAAAAGGCTCCTTTCATGCCAGCATTTCATCCCATTCATGTCCCAGTTGTGGACACAGCTACCCTCCCACTCCTGAATAGCAAAAAGCAGCTGGGCAGCAGGTCATAAGCGTGAGGGTCCCCAAATGGGAAAGCGAACAAGCTGCAGGCTTTATGGAAGTGCATCAGATACAGTCCAAATGATTGTGTGATGTGCATAATCCATGGGACTGTTAGTCCTGATACTAGTAACGCTGGGTCTTGAAAAACACAGCCCAGTATTAACAGCTTTGTCTGACATGTACTTTACCATGTTGACCTAGAGACTCTCCTTCAGCTGAAACCAAATCTTGCTTAAGACCTACCAGAGAGTCTTGATTCGGCAAGCGCATGGAATGGAGGCTGGTCCCTCTCAGCAAATCGCTTGGTTGAATTCTTTAATTCAGCATCTTCCAAACTTGTAAAAGGAGATCCCTGTTTTAGAAAACTAAATCAATTATTGTCTACTTTAACTTTGCCCATGCTGTTTTTGGTTTACATTTTACAAATATCACCTTGGGTGCCAGAACTTCCATTTGTATTACAATGGCTTAATCACAAGAACAGCTCGCAAATGCAACCTACCAAGCCTGAACCAAATCAGAAGAAAGGCAATTTTGCAATTGTCTAAAATAATTTTGACCCTTGCAGATATCAGCACTTTTGAAAAAGTGTCACTCAGGTACATAAAACGGCCAGGGTAATATACTTTCCAAGACTTTTCTAGTATAATTTTGTGAGCATGAGAGTTTGCCCCATATACAGAGTGAGCAAGCGGAGTCCCTTGAAATTTATGAAGACTGGGAATGTTGTTAACACTGATTCTCAATCCAGTCTTCCTGTTTCCTGGCTGGAATGTGCTGTCAGGACTTCCTTGATATTTTGTAGTCTCAAAACCATTTTATAGGTGTGTGAAGAGGGAGACTACAGAACATCAGAGAGCAAAACTCCCAGGTGTTTAGATCTTCCAGTAGTGTAGATTCACTACCACAAATAGGCACACACTAGATTACACATGGCATGTAACTACATGTGTATTGTAGGATATGTTTTCCCATTTTCCCAAAACTTCCTTCCTACCAAATAGGACAAGTAGATGGTGACCTGATGTACTCAAAACATGGTTAATTAGTGACCCTCCTCAGCTACAGGGAAATACAGCCTTTTGTCCAATTACAACAGCATGATTTATTACATCATCTCAGTTGCCAATTTCCTGGATATTGAAGAGATTCTCAGAGATCTGCATCTCTTCAGCTTTTGTTTGTTCTCTACACAGATATCTTCAACGAACAGTTTTGTTATCTCACCTAAAAATTTTCTTTCCTCCTTTCAAAATTAGCATATTATTTGTACGGTTTTAACTGGTTATATTGAAACTTTTGGTTTTGGTCTTTCTTTTAAAAATCTAGAATTGGTTTTCCCAGTAGATCTGGAATGTGTTAAACTAAGAAGAATTGATTATTATGCCCATGTGACTTAAAAGCAGAGTTTCCATCTACTGTTCTTGGAATGCCTACCGAGATCATGTTTGCCAAATTTCTAATGGCTATCCACTCGTAATTTGTTTTCTCACTTACTAGCAATTTTAACAGATTTTAACACAGATTGAAAAGTTCATCAAGAAAGAGATGAGATTTTAAAAGATTTAAAATGATGTCACTCGTAAATTTACATGGAAGTTCCAGTACACATATTCCATCTCTGTCTTTTAATTTTTTTTTTTTGTGAAATACATGAACAGTTCAAATTTTAAACTTATTTTGCATTATCTTACTAAGGACTGAACTTTTGCAATTTTATTTACATCTAGAATCTATCTGGATTGATTAGCATCTAGGGCTCTACTGACTTCATGTAGCAAGGTCTCTACTCAAGAGCTACTACAGTAGTAGTCCATCAAGTAATCATCCTATAATCCTCCTAGATAACCTAATTATCCCTTGAATATATTTTGATTCTTTTTAAGCAAGCAAAAAATTTTAGCAGTCTCATCAGGATTTTTATTTCATACACTGAGGCCAGGTCTTCAGATGGTATAAAGGGCTGTAAACTAAATGCGTTTTTCAGGTGCTGCACTATCTTTTTTATTCCATGCATATGGTAACATATGATGACAGCATGTTATTTATATGCCCTTGGTATACTGTCATTAATCCTCTGCTCAAAAACTCCTGTTGTAAGGGTCATCCCTTACTTGGAGAACCCTTTGAGAATCCGTATGCAGCAGTGTTTATTCACATTGGCAAGGACTCAACAACACACAAAAACCATTACTGAAAACATTCGTTATGCTTTTAATTTCACTAGCCTTTGAAAAACAAACACACAGAAACAGAAATGTCTGCGATCATTTTGCCCCTCACATTCTTGACTTTTTAGGGGCCATTTATCATCCTAAAAACTAAGCGGCTGCATTGGGGTATGAAACAACTGAGGAAGCATTTCTGTTCCGGCGAAGGCAACTACTGCAAAGGGCACTGACAGCGGAGCCCACACTGCTCTACTCGTACCTGTCCAACTGCTGGAACCCGCCCGGCACTTCGCCTGACCGTCTGACCCCGTGCCAGGCAAGACGCAGCAACCCCAGCTGGAGAAAGTCTTTGGAAAATTGTTTTTGATGCGTAGGAAACGGTAAGAGGTTCGAAAGGTTCCCTACTGAGGAGAGCATGGGGGAAAATAAACCCGAGAGGGATGGCTGTACTCCCCTGCGCCCGTCCCTCCTCCCTCCCCCACGGGCGCCGGCCTGACGCGGCAGCAAACACCGTTAGCC